AAAACAAAATAATCTTTTGTTTATTAAAGTTTCTAAATTGCCTACATTCTTCGATTGCTGCCGATAGATGGCACTGCAATTAAGAAAACACATATAGTTTTATGTATAGCGATCGCCCGCGGCTATTTCAAGATTTTTTTAATTTTCTCTTCAAACAAACCTTTTTTAGACTTCCACGAATAATTCAAGACCAAAATTAGTCAAATCGGTAAGGACATTAATTGTTGAGTTATACCTAACATTACAACGAAAAGTGGCATAGATAAATATCATTACCAGACCAGCTTGCTGGGTTTGAATTTACAGCAAATTAATTACATCAATTATCGCTTACCGTTGCAATTTTCAAAACTGGAAACATTATAGACTTGACAAAGCACCTTTATAACGATTACTTCCACCTCGTCCAATACGACAGAACAGCCTACCCCGGTACGGGAGAAAATATGTAAATTTTATGTAGGTACGCAATTAATTTCGTCATTCGAATAATAGCGTATAATGATATCATTCGAAACGCTCACACCCTCTTCGAGATTATTAATTTTGTCAATGGCCATAACACACTTCATGAACCTTTCTATATACAGGCTGCTTTACCTTCTGACGTTTAAGACAGTAAATTTGGGCAACGTCTTTAAAACATTATTTTACCTTTATTATTATTTTTTGGGAAAGCACGACAAACGATCGGAACGAACGGTAAGCAATTGGCGCCGCCTATATACACTAGCAACACCAGAAGAGTTGTTGTGTTTCGCGTTAATACCCGCTAAATAATATGTATGTTGAAAACCTGACAAATACTTCACTAAAAAGGATTTCTAAAGAGTAAAATGTAGGTAGGTACTTTCTAAAACAAAACATATCATGAGGAAACCTGCACGTATAATTTCCATAATTTCCAAGTTTGATATCGTCACCTTCTTTGTATGAGCCTTGCCTTTCCTAATTAGTGGACACCTTTTGGGCTGCTAATTATGATGGGTGTTTATAGTAGTCTTTCGAAACTGTTCAGTAATATTACGGAGTTTGGAGTTAGGATACAGGACATGGGATTCTATATATTACAAGAGTTCGTAGTTGTGTTGTCCGAGATCTGATCTTTCGGTAACCTCTCTCACACGTTGTAACATAACGCAAGTGTTATTTCACGCCTGTATTCTCTGAGCAGTGGAACCGCCCCGTTGGAGCTGGCCCATTCGTTTCCCACAACGTTAATTTACCAAGGTAACCCTTACTTTTAAAAACTCCCTGTATATCTCAGCTTAATTAATTAATTCAGTAAAGCACTCCCATATAAGTTTAATGTCTTTTAGTATAAAGATAGCGGAGGGTTTGCATTCTTCATTCATTTATTTATTTTTATTTTTTATTGCCTCTTAGCTCTTCGAGTAGACTACGCGCAGACTTCTTCGTTAGCTATGGTAGATAGAACGATCCGAGTTCAGATTTTATTGAAATACTTATTATTGCTACATTTTTTTTCACAGTTTACAAGACTTTATGTACACAACATACTTACATTTAACTAGTCGATTGCAAAAACAAATGAAACTACAAATCTCTTGTAGGCTTTTATTAACAGTGCTGACTTAACAATACAGAAAAATGTAAAAAAAGTATAAGGATACCTTGTAAACAACTCCTTCAGTACCGCAACGAATCTAATAAAACACAAAGTCAAAAGGCACGATGTCCCCCTAATTTCTTCAGAAAATTAATTATGTTTCCGCATATAAAAATAAAAATGTCAAAAGCCTAACGAATCTGTGGCAGCCAACAGTGAAATTCCTGTTTTACAAACGTTGTCTGCGAACTCAACACAATTAGATTTAATAACAACACGAGTCGGAAGTACGTTAAATAAAAATGGCGGTCACGGACGCATGTACACCATTTTATGTTTAGTTTTCATCCAGTCTGAGACCATTAAGCCACAAATAAATATGATTTATAATTCATCATATTATAGTAATGCAATCTTACTTCGTGTTATAGATTTTTTTTGTACTATTAGGTAAGTAGGTACGGCTTCACACAGATGCAACGCTGGTACTAAATTTCTTCACTATTTAATAGGTGTTATTATACATGAGGGAAGTGGCTTCTTTTTGTGAGACCATAATGTCCCAAAAAGAGGCTGCCGAGCGGGATCGGGAGAGGGCCGATCCCGTCCGGAGACGGCGTCGAGGAAGCAACCGCCTCGGCGCCTAACACGCCATTCTGCCTCAACAATATTGAGGCTAACTCTTGGGGTCACGGGCGCACTGAGTGGGGAATCTAGGCACCCCCCAGTGACTTCAGGGAAGACGGTGGCACAGTGGCCACGTGCCGCCGTGCACGATGACGGTTAAAGAGGTCACGTACCTCTGGATGGAGATATGCCATATCAGGCGTTGCACCAAAGGGGCTCTGGAGTTGGTCTATCAAGAGGTCCCGGTGTCCCTTATAGGTGTTGATGGTGGCCACCGGGGAGGTTTTAGTGAGGTAAAAATCCCACACTCCCTAGTCTTTTTCCCCAAAAGCTAGGCGCCTTTAGAAGGTTTCCCCCCTTAACAAAAAAAAAATATATAGCTGTTATTATACATAGTCTGGCCATAAATACTGTTACAATTAAAAATAAACAAAATAGGTATTACATTTGAATTTGGAATCTGTCATTTTTATATAATTTTTCATTGTGTTTTCTTATTTTGGCGCCAATAAATTGTTCAATATTTTGCGATATTAAAATGGAGTGGGGTGATAAAGAGAACCGAATCGCTGTGATTGCATTACACAAAGTGGGTATGGAGCCAAATGCAATTTTTAAAAGTCTCCACACGCTTGGCATTATTCAAATGTTTGTGTACCGGGCTATTAACAGCTACTGTTTGTGACAGAAAAAGATCGGGCCTATATATAAACTATCCTTGGATAGAGCTATAGACTCTATCCTTCTTATTATATCTACTTAAATAAAAAAACGCATCAAAATCCGTTACTTACATAATTTTCAAGATTTAAGCATACATAGGGATATAAGTACAGAGAAGGCGACTTTATTTTATACTACGTAGTCACTTCTAGTGTACCAAATTAATACAATATTAAGTAAGTATGCTTACATACAAAAGATGTTTTAATATTTACAATATAAACAAAAGTATTTGTAACATTAAATGCACACATAACATTACACGCACCACTGAACGCAAGCTGCACATAAATCGCGCTGTTTGCAGGTCCTTTGACATTGAAATCACATTCGGTTCACAGTAACTCAGTCTGTTTGCCTGTGGTGCCGACACTCTGACACCCCGACACTAATTTGCACGAAGTGTGACGCACCTCCTGCTGACGGCCGCTTTGTGCCGACAAACTTTACATCCTACGAGTTTAGCCGGCGACGATTATTGTAGAACTCATATAAGGCGACTTTTAAAAATGTAACTAATGGTACATTGAATATAATTACGAAGTCGTATTTTAATTATATATTTTTTACTTTTTATTATGTTGGTATGGTCGGCAAACGAGCTAATGGATTACCTGATAGTATGCAATAAACGCTGCCCACGGACACCCGCAACAACTGAGGGGTTACAAGTGCGTTGCCGAACTTTTGGAGATTAGGGATTTGGAGATTTAGGGGTCAGTGAGCAGTCTCAGGGGTTTAATACTTGAGCTTTATTTAGTCAAGCTTTATGTCAGACTAAATAAGTACTAAAACTAAGCTCTGATTTAATTATACAAAATATAAAACCAAAGCTTATTTCGATATGACCACAGATATTCAACCGTAAAGAATAGATTTGAATTTTCTTCTAGTCAAATATATTTGCATAGGTCCTACATCTAATATAAGCATAAACATACAAACTAAGGGTTTAATTTGCGCAAGTATAATTCAAATCAAAGGCTGAGCTATTCATTGGCAGTGTTGCAACCAGTTTAACATTTACAGCAGCCAATCGGGCTGCGGCTGCATTGAATAGCGGGGTGCTTAGTTGTTATTGTTGGCGATCGAGTCAATTTTGCAGCGAGCCAAATCGAAACAACCGCTATTTAGTACTGTTCTATGCGCGCATCGCGTGTTGTTGAGATAATTGAGCGCTTAGTAGGTTTGCTTCCGTTAACGTTATTGTTTTAGTTAGATACGTATTTTAGAGATTTGTTTGGTTAATAAACCAACTAACGTGGCTAATTAAGCCATACGTGTTTATGTAGGAATTCTGATATTCAACATAATAAATATTGATATGTAATACATATGTAGATACTAAGTAATGAAGACAAATGAGTCTAGTTATTGTAATAAAGTTAGGAAGCTGTTAATATCAAAACTTCGATGTCATTCAGACTTCTACTTTCAAAGGAAACTCATTAGGATGGTGATGGTTATGGTTGATTCCAAATTACCTACCGTCTAACGGTTTGGTTGTTTCAATTTCTGAAGTGTTAAGCATCAGACGCTTTCAAACCGTCAGAATTGAAGATTTGAAAGCATAATAAATTTTTATACCACAGCTATCGTGAAAAATATGCACCGTCCTTAACAGAGCTCAAAGAACAACGCCATCTGTCAGACGCTTGAAATATCTTTTTTATATTTACTACTACTATCGTATTGTTTCGAAAACTCTGGAACACTTTTACATACCACACTTACTCAATGTTTGTAAAAATATATAAATTGGTATTTGCAGACACCCCAAATTCGTTAAGTTGATGTATGCTACTAACGCCATCTGTTGGTTTAATTTTTTGTTATCTAATCGAGTATCAGCGTCATCTAGTTTATGAAACTAATACCATTGAGTAATTTTTATCTATAAAATCAATTTATGAAATAAAATGAAATTAATATTTAATGCAATCTCAAAATTTTCTTGTTTTTCGATTACTTGTATTTATACTAGAACTATACATAAATTATTTGTAATATATAATTATTAACAACACTAATTTTTGTTTTTGTAACTGTATTCAAAAAGTAAAAATAGTTCAAGACTAAGCTGGCAACACTGCTGCGTTTGTTGATCTCTCGAACTCATTGTCTGAGAAATTCTTATCCATAACCAAAATTCTTAATAATTTGCTTATTACCCTTGGAATAAACAAAAGAAAATGCAGTCAAATGAGTTTTAAACGTGCCTTATTATGTTCGACGCTTACCAAAATAGTGTTAAGTGAAAAAAACATGTGAAGTGTTTGGACGATTAATATGCATTTGTTTTCATTATGACAAAACGCCGAAGAATACTTCATGCCGACAAAATAATTCAAAATATTATGAATGTGTTTTGTTTGTTAATGTTCCTGCAGTTAAAAGGTTTGATTTGTTTCGTTAATTACGCTTGCTAGGTTTAATAAGCTGCGCATTGCACACTTATCACTCCAGATGTGAACTTTTTGACATTGTGTATGTAAATTATTTCGTTTTTATCAAAAGGTTTGCCTCGTATTAAGGCGTTCTCGTGTTTATCTCAATTTAATATTATAATGCACTAATAAAACATCGTTGTTTATTGATTGATAGCTTGTTCAATGCAAATTAATAACAACTGTTAGAGATAAACAAAGTGCTCTCATGTAAAATTCTATCATGTAGATACAATTTTACGTTTTCTAACATCCCTATCTTTGCCTAAGGCGACCCACTGACCAAAAGGCTACACTACAGATAGCTCACTACACTATACACACTCTTTTTCCCAAAAAAATATATAATTTTTGCAGATTAAATTTAAAAAAATCTGAGTTTCTTTACAAAATAGATTTTGTCACCATTTATTATGAATTATAGATAAATAGAGATAGACTTGTATAGGTAAGAAACAGTGTTTCTGTTAAACTGTTAACTTTCAACAAAATTATTATTTTGTTAGTAAGTAATTACAAAGTAAAAGATGTTTTTAATCAAATACATAAATGGAGTTAATACCTATGTTAATGTAAACAATTGTTAGCTACATGATTCTTGTTCATTCAGGTATTTAGATTATTATTTCAAAATATTAGTCAGTGAGTATTCTCAAAACAATTGATTTGTTTAAACAACATTCCTTCTTAAGCTGTATTACTTAACTGCATTAGATTATATCAAACATTGTAATGTAAATGCTAACAGAGAACACCAAGACATATTCTTGCCATATTTATAAAATAAAAAATAGAACATACTTTATTTAAGAACTATGGCCCACTAAAGTATATCTCAGGTTCTTATATGATGAAACACCATACAATTATCAGACAAAAGCTTAGTAGCATTAAAAGGCTGGCGGACACATTATTTGACCTAGCAAATAGCTAAAATTGTTTATTTATTAGAAATCATGGCTTACTCATGTGTATAAACTCAGAAAAGCTGTCCCAATTTCAGAACATATATATGAGCAGTGTACTAGAGGTTTTCAATAAAATTATCGTCTCACACTAGTTACTTAACAAAAATAGCTTTTCTTTATTCAAAAATATAATCAATTGTTTCAGGTTTCTATGCAGTAGTTAGTAATCCAATATTGTTATACTCAACGGCCTCTGACATCAGAGTTGTTAATACATCAAAGTTAAGTAAAGTAAATACAATTGTAAAGGATTTGGAACAAGGGTCGGCTGTGGACTTCCTTCACAGAAAGGATCTAATATGCTGGTCGGACCAAACCGCTGAGCTGATACAGTGTATGAGTTATAATGAAACTCATGTAGGAGATAAGGTAAAAAAAACATTGGGTTGACTTTTGTACCATTTGTTGCATACAAAATGTTATTAATAAGAAATTGTATAGAGATAACTATAACAAATACTCTGTTTTGCATTTGTTTGTATCAAAACAATCTGTAAGTTTCACGAAAATCAGGGTCAGAGGTCTTTATGATCATATGTAATATACATAGATTGTAGCAATTTTCTCTGGTTTCCATGGCACTTTATGGTGTCTTTTTGCTTAGAGAAAAAACTCCTTAATCTGTTGACCCTCACCAGACACTGGTAGAATAGTCAACAAAAATTAATTATATAGACTGGAAATAAGTGTAGAGTACTTTTTTCTGCCTTTTTTTAGGAGAACTTACATATTTTTCAGCAAAAGTACATTTTTAACATGGAGATAGTGAGTAGTCTAATACTTTAATGTTTCCAGGTTAGAATAGTTTCAGATGGATTAATAACACCTACTGGTCTAGCCATAGACTGGTATACAGATAAGTTATACTGGACGGATGGAGAGACCAATAGAATTGAAGTCATTAGCATAGAGCAGAGGTATAGAAAAGTACTGTTTTGGTCTGAGGTTGACCTCGCCAGAGCTATTGCTGTTGTTCCTAAGGAAGGGTAAGATTTCATTTTTATCTTTATATTAATTATAAGTAATAGCTTTGTTTAAAGAAAGAGATTTACTGAGCTTAATGTATGTAAAAAATTAATATTATTTGTTATGTTTTACTTTCATAAGCTAGTTTTGTTAATTTCTATGTGATACATATAATTGATTAAATAAAAATATAAGATTAACTATTAACACATTCAGTGCCCCCGACGCGTATGTGCGTTTCCTCGCACGCACATACGCGTCAGGGGCACTGAATGTGTTAATCTAAAAATTAAAATAAAAGAATACACAATAGTTTAAATTCTTAATTATTTAGAAGCTTTTCATCAATGTGTGTATATCTAAACAAAATTATAAAGCTAGAGAACCAAATCAAATCAAATCAAAATCATTTATTCCAACTAAACCACAGAAACTAAACCATAAATAGGTACTTTTGTAACGTCAAAATAGAATAGTAGTCTGTCAGTCTGTTCGTCAGTGAAGCTAGGTGCTTGTTCCAAATTGTAGTTTCGAATGGAAAAGAAAGAGCAAAAAACTCCATCGTTACTCTTTTTAAAAAAATAAAAAAAATACACCACATGCATCTCAGAAACTACTGCTTGAAACGGAAAAAATATTTTAAGGCAGTTTGTTAAGGGAGGCTTGAAGTTATATGTATAACATTACGCCGTGTCTCATAGAAGTGTAACTAATAGTGAAATCAATTCAAATGTAATTATTTTCTTTACAGTCTCATGTTCTGGACAGATTGGGGTGAAGTGCCTAAAATAGAAAGAGCTGGTATGAATGGTGACCCAGCTACTCGCAAAGTTATAGTCAAGGACAATATAAGCTGGCCAAACGGCATTACAGTAGATTATGACAACAACCTCATATACTGGGTTGATGCAAAGCTACATTTTGTTGACGTCATCGATTTCAATGGAAAAAATAGAAAGAATGTCGTCAAAGAAGAACTAGTGTATCCGTATGCCCTTGCGTTTTTTAATTATAAACTGTATTGGACTGATTGGAAGACATGGTAAGTTTATTATAATGTTTGTTTATTTATTATTTTATTATCAAAAATATGTTTAAGTATATACTTTTATCTGAATTAGTATCACTTGAACCTCACAATAAGTTATAGTTACAGTTATAATAAAAATCAAAGTTTAGGTAACAAATATTTTCAACTAATAACAATAATTATTGAATATTATGTATCCAATTTAAATAGTGGTGGTGTTAAGTATCCAATTTAAATTTAAAAAGTGCAAACAGGCTAGGGAATGCAAAACCCGCCAAAATTTAAAACCGGGTTTATTTTCGAGTTCTATTTTAAAAAACCCGGTTTTCGGTGAAATCGGGTTTAAGACGAGTTTTTTGTAAGTACTTTTTTATATAAACTACATGGAAACGAATAAAAAATCGTGATCAAAGGAAAATAACTTTAATTTATTTATTACGAAAACTATGAAATCGTTAACAATCAGTCTTACAATAATCAACTTTAGACAAGTAATTCACTGAATAAACATAATTATCATGTTGATAGAACAGCTACAGCTAAGATAATGAAAATGAAAATAACAAATCATTAAACATTGCTTAAAGAATATTTTACTTTTTAAAGTATTTATAGGACCTGTCTGTACTCTAGTGCATCTACCTACAATAATATTTAAATAACAGAAAAAACTGTACTGCACGATGAACACTTGAAATTGTACGATAAATTTACTTTAATTCTATATTTTTTACTTCGAAAATAGCTAAAACTTATTAAATTATAGAAACAAACCACAGAGAAGAGTAATAATACCTAAACAAACATCCCTTTTTTCTTTAAGATTCTCCCATGTAAGGGAAGGCAAAGAGCGTGAGCCCATGCAGCCTAGTCTTCACTTCTTCAGTTGTCTTTTTCTTGAGAGCGTAAATGTCACTTTGACAGTGCTATAGTGTTGCCATTAAAAAAAACCGAAAACACCGAAAAACCGGAAACGTGCCTAAAAAAAAATCGAGTTTTTTTATCGTTTAAAATATCACAAAAACCCGGGTTTTCGAATTTCGGTAAAACCGGGTTGCATTCCCTAAAACAGGCTTATTTCATTTTTTACTCATAAAAGTCAACTACTCAGTAGATTATAAAAAAAAATATCTTCTATCAACAATTTATCCTTACTAACAAAGTCATTATTTACTATTTCAGGTCAATACACACATGGGACATTTCAACTTCAGGACCAATGAAGGAATTGATCAAATCAGACCCAGTGCCTGTAGATTTGAAGGTTTATGATGGAAGCAAGCAAGTAATGCCCACTGGAGATTATCCATGCAAGGAGAACAACGGAGGATGCTCACACTTGTGCCTTTTAGCTCCTAAGCCAGCAGGTATAGTTCTCAATTCAGTTTTTATTTAACCTAAATTTTAAAAATCATACAATACCCCAGACTACGGTGCGTAGCTTTCCGCGCGCGCCTCAAATAGCCATAGACCACCAAAGACAGGGCCCTATAGGGGAGATGTTCAGCCGAGGTAAGCGCAATGAGGCACCGCGGCTTCGATCTAGAGCAGGAGAACGAACGCGGGTTTAGTAAAAGACTGGCACTATAGGTGGGAGAAGTAATTTGATGAAGATAAAAAAAAAGCTACAATACGGTAGTTTCCAACTAGTCAAAGTTATTTTTCAATATTTGATTGAATTGAACGTCGAATTAATTTATTTGTGATCTAGGAAACTACCCAATAACGCAAGTAACACATATAACCTTCTTTCACAGGCTATCAATGTGCATGTCCAACGGGATGCAAGTTAAAAGAAGGCAGCAATACAACTTGCCACAACACCCCGCAGTCCCTTCTTATCGTGGCGCAGCGCTCAGCCATCTCCAAGATATCCCTGGACTCGCCAGACTTCACTCCCTACACACTACATTTGAAGGATTTGAAAAGAGCACTCACTGTAGATTTTGATCCCAAGTCTGAATACATCTATTGGGCTGATAATTTGGTGAGTTTAAGTTATGATTAACATCAAGTCACTCAACTGAGTGGGTACCTGGCGATCTTAATTTGTGAACTGTTTATTATTCCATTCTAAAAACACAATCAATTTACTTTGAAAATGAAACTCATCTAATAGATGTCCACTAACAAAATTACCCCCATTATAGCCACCATTTGGAACGAGACAGTAACTTCACTAAGAGAACTGACCGACAGACTGACACTTTTTATCTTTAAGCTTATTGATTTGACATTTAAAAGTGTCTGTAAGTTTGTAAGGGTCTAATTCAAATAAATTATTTAGATTTAGAATTTTCACTATTTACTAGTCAACTATATATAATATTCTTAATCTGGTGGTCATAATCTAAAGAGAACTGATGATTTACAAACTTAAAAAAGAAATCAAGCTATAGAATTCTGATCCCGAATTCGGGTGAAACGGAATTTTGGATGATTTTTGCTAATATCTTTATTTTATTTTTCTATAGGCAAAAACAATATCCAGAGCTCGTCTGGATGGCAGTGAGCAATCAGTGGTCATTCACAGCAGTGGAGTTCCGGACAGTATTGCAATCGATCCCCTGGCTAGGAACATTTATTGGACCGACCCTGTTACAGACACAATCAATGTAGCAAGACTGGATGGAAGCTCTAAGAAGGTATGTTGATATTTGAAATTATTTTCTTAGAAAATGTGCTGTAGATAAATGGGGGAGATAGATCCTCTGGGGTTGCGGATGTCCAAAGGCAATGTCAACTACCATAAACTGGTTTGCCGCCAAAAAAAACTCACGTCTTATCTGCGTTTCATTGATTCTAAACCTGTACCTTACATTATGGCGTTATGGCCTGGCGATCAAAAACGATGCAACGTAGCAAAAATTTGTATCGTTAGTGTGATCCATACATTAGTTTATTCTTGACGTGTTTATTTGAGAAATGTCCTTGAATACTGCTACATGCTTAATATCGTAATTTCAAAAATAAAAAGCAACCGTATAACACAATTCCAGGTGCTAATCCACAACGACCTATACGACCCGCGTGCCATTGCGTTACACCCAGTAGCTGGCTGGATGTTCTGGTCAGATTGGAACGAGAAGAAACCTAAAATAGAGCGCGCCAACCTGGACGGTACTGCGCGCGTACTGCTCGTGTCTGAACGTCTCGCCTGGCCTAATGGCATCGCTCTAGATACTGTCAAAAATAAACTCTATTGGGGTGATGCTAAGACGCATAAAATTGAGGTATGTTTTAATAATAATTACTGTCTTATGACTGACTAACATTCTACTTCTAAGACTAAATAAGTTATTATTTTTTTAGGAAAGTATATCTCCGACATTTTATTTTTGTTCTTGTGTTAGTCACTACGCTCACATTGTCAAACTCAAAATCTTGTTTGCTATAATTTTTATTTCAAAAATTAGAGTAATATTTTTTTATATAATAGGTCGGCAAACGAGCAGACGGATTACCTGATGGTAAGCAATCGGAGCCACCCATGGACCGCAACGGAGGAGTTACGAGTGCTTTGCCGACCTTTTAGAAATTTAGGGATTGAGGAGAGTTTGGGGGAGGGGAAGGATTGGGCCTCCGGTAACCTCACTCACACGGCGAAACACAACGCTCTGGTTGTTTCACGCCGGTTTTCTGTGAGGCCGTGGTATCACTCTGGTCGAGCCGACCCATTCGTGCCGAAGCCCGGCTCTCCCACACTTTAAACAATGTATTTTTAATTACATAAAATGTCAATAGTACGTGTTCACTCTTTTCAATAAAATCCAATGCTTCATATTAACTTTTCTATCTTACTTTCAGGTATGCAACATGGATGGCACAGAACGGAAAGAGTTGCACAACAGCGAGATACTTCACATATTCGGCCTTACATTACTTGGGGAGCATCTCTACTGGACGGATATGCAGAAACGGACCTTAGATAGGATTAACAAAAACACAGGTACACTCTATATACTTATCAAGCCCCATTAGAACAATTCCGTCTGCTCGTTTGCCGGTCTATTACATAAAAAAAAAATATAAAAAATCTTATATTTTTTGACATTATCACTATTTTATATATCAGATTAATTATTTGTCGGTACAGGGTACCGTAATACTTAGTGAATATAGGAAGTGAAAGAGGGAGGTATAGGGAAATAGAATCTTTTTGCCCCTCTTAAGCGTATAATAATCTCTAAAAAAACATTTAGCAATCTTTCCAGCCAGAGTTATCGTCACTTAGACAAACCAAACATATTTGATTTGAAACCTCAAACGAATTACTTACTTCCACGTTGAAAATAAGTACTTACGTTAAATATTTTCCATATTCTTGCCAGGGTTAGAACGTCAGGCAGTAGTGGAGCAGATGGCGAACATGATGGGGGTGAAGGCCTTCCGACTTGGGGAGACGCTGCCGTGGAACCCCTGCGCCGACAACAACGCGGGCTGCTCGCATCTCTGCTTCAATACGCCGGACAAACATATCTGCAGCTGTCCTATTGGTATGTTTCTACTGCAGTTTTTTGAAAGAACTTTCTTGCTCTCTAGGAATTTAATTGAATTCTAACTACTTTAATATCTCATCCTCAAGTAACGCACTTTTAATTATGCGACGCAGATTGTTTACCATCAAGTGACGTATTTTTGTTGCTGATCTATCCTAAAGGAAAGCGGCGAACATTCTTGCCGTCGAAGCTACCTACACAGCATTCGATTGGAAATAAGTGCTGATTATATTAGTTAAACATTTTTTGCATTAAGTATATGCTTACTTTCTTGGGATGAAGCACTTAGCTTAAATATACAATCACAAATGTAACAATGTATTCATTGTTGAAAATTAAAATAAAATAATAAAAAATATAATTTTTTGGTCAATCGTAAATATGTCTTGGTGCCAGTAATATTGTATTTCAGCACACTAATTAATATAAAATGAACTTCATTCTAACATCACAAATTAAAAATCATAAATGTTCACTTCAGGCCTAGAATTAAGCAAAGACAAGAAAACCTGCGTAGAACCTGAAGCCTTCCTAGTGTACAGTCGCAAGAATGTTATTGGCCACATGAGTATTGAGAACGAACAGAGTGACGTCATACTGCCTCTTAGAGACTTGAAGGAAGTCAGGTAAGTACTAAGTGGTGATACATCATTATCATCAGGCCTAGACCTATAGCATAAATGATAGAAATATTTTAAAAATTAAGGTTCAAAAAGTGGTCATGTTATCAACTTCTTCTGGACAGTCATGGACCGCTATCGATACGTAAAACGGGGATAGATGTTGCTTAATTTTTCCTAGCATGTATTCACCTTTCTTCTGTATCTTATTGTATTCACCGTGTTTTACCGTTACTTATTTTAAAAATGTTGTTTACTTTTTGCAAAAAAAAAAAGTTTTTTTCATTCAGTAAAATATTCCAAACTAGCTATTCTCGCGCGGTTTCACCCGCTGCTCAGCTTTGATCGTAGCATGATGTTTTATAGCCGATAGCTCGCAGGAACATTGTAGCTATCTATCAGTAAAAGAATATTAACAATCCGACCAGCGGTTCCAAAGATTACCCCCTACATACAAACTTACAAATTTTACCTCTTTATAATATTAGTATATAAAAAAAAATAGAGAGATAATATTATAATTATTTTTCGTATATAAATATTTTTGTGTCACTTGTGTACTCAAATATTCTAAATTTAAACATATGTAGGTACTCTTATCTTTTTATAATTTCTTCATAACATTGTTCCTCATGCAGTGCACTAGCTGTTCACGTGGCAGGCAACAAGCTGTACTGGTCGGACGCTAAATCGAAGACCATCAACCGATGTTCTATGAACGGTTCCAATATGGAGAAAGTCTTGGAGTGGATGGGATTGGTCGAAGGTAAGGTTACCTACCTAAGTATACCTTATTTGCTCTGATCAGGGTATATTTTGTCTTTTGTTAGTTGTTGTCAGTAAACAGCTTTTTAAATTATGATATAGGACTTTCATTTTGAATTCACCTTTAAGTTTATCATAATACTAACTTAATGTATTAAAAAAATCAAGAAAATGACTCGATTACATTAGATGTAAAGAGGTAACAAACAAACTACCAAGCTTACTTTCACATTATAACAATAACTCATATAAAATTATTGTAAATGACCCTACAATCACGTGTATAAACTGAGAACAGCTCTACTTGATTTAAGTCACAACGGGACCGTTATCCATAAGCAGCGTAAGCGTCACTGCGAGGTCGCGCAGCTTATTCAAAAATTTTTAATTCGATAGATACGATACTCAAAAAATTTGATTTAGCTCAGAAAAAACCTATTTACCTAACAGAATTTGTGATCGATATTAATAATTCTGAAACCAGCTTTAATAACCAGACTTAAAGTTCAATTTATACCTATCATTAATTTTGACATACTCCTTTACAATAATAAATAACCATCATTCTCCTAGGTATAGCAATAGATTGGTCAGGACACAACATATACTGGACCGACACTGCAACACAGCGCATAGAAGTGGCTCGACTCGACGGCTCCAGCAGACGTACCCTCGTCTGGCAAGGACTGAAGAAGCCTAAGAGCATAGCCCTGGATCCTAAGAAGGGGTAAGTTTGAAATCGAAGAAGGAAATTTACGTATATGATAAGTGTTGTCCAAAATAACTGGGTTGTTTTCTATGTGAAAACGAAATAAATTTGTTTTTCCAATGCAATACTTCGATTCATTGATTTGAGGACATACCTAGCTATTTTTTCTACAATAACTATGAACTATTTGACTTAAAAACATACTACCTATGAGATTTTCTTCTAAACTTCATGGAAAAGTATAGACTTTTAAAATTTCTTTGAAAGTATTGAATTTGCCTAGTAATTAAAAGCTGTCGAATTGTGCATTCCTAATGTCTCGAATCTTGTTAAATGAACGTTTTGAAATTGGAAATAATTATATTTTATTTATTCTTAAATCTGATACTGTAGAATGTATAGATAGTTGGTAGCAGAAAACTTTCGGCCTAATTGGTGATAACTAAGAATACCTCTTTAATTTCGTCGTAAGCTCCTCGAATAAGATTACATCTACAATAGATGCCAATTTTTTAAAACATTGGTACTAGTTTTCATAAATCACAACAACCTTAATCAACTCAATCTCTTGATTCCAGCTACATGTACTGGTCAGAACTTGGTTCAAAGAGTATAAAGAGGGCTGGTATGGATGGGTCATCTCCAACCGTTATCTTCGAGCAAGTTGGCAAAGTCCACTCGATTGCAATAGACTATGAGAGACGTGGTCTTTACTGGGCCGCCCTGGACCCACCGGCCATAGAGTTCGCGTACCTGAATGGAACTGGACGGAAGACCTTGATAAATAATGTGTCTATGCCTTACACACTCACCCTGTATAACGATAAGATATATTGGGGCGATTGGAATACTGGTAAGTAATTTTTTATTGTGTTTTTATGAATGTGTCATGGTACCTAAATAAAAAATATTTTAAATTTGGCCAAAATTTAACCCTTCGTTATAGCCTATGTTCAACGGGGATAGCATTGCTCCCCAACGGAAACGGATCTTATCAAAAGAATTTTTAAAATTGGTCAAGTAGTTTCGAATCCTGTTCAATCTAAGCCAACAATCAATAAAAATCCTCTTTATAATATAAGCACTTATAGAGAAACTTTGCCTTCCATTAGTACATTTTGCTATTTAAAAATTACTTGTGTCTATGCCTATGCTTATACGAGTAATTTTATACACATCCGTTCTAATCTTCGAACTGAATCTACAAGGCCAAGTTGACCAGAACAGAAACCGAAACTATATATAACAAATGACCCTGTAGTTGGTTGTTAAATTAAATCTAAATCATTTTGTAAGCATTTTGGCTTCTATTGTTCAGCTCCATTTTGTAGGCGTATTAGATCACCGGGATCGCGGATCAGGCCCAGTAAGGTACTGTGGCCTCGGCCTCGTAAAGGAGTAGGAGGAACAGGGGGGTTTTTAATCAGTAAGACTGACACTTTTCTCTTGGCGAAAGGACTCATTTGATCCTCGTAAAGAAGGCGCCTGACGTAAAAACTTACTCATCTAACTTCTTATAGGTATAGTGGAATCAGCAAGCAAGACAACAGGATCAGGTCGCGTAACAGTGGGTACTGGGCTGGAGTACATCTCGGAGCTGAAGGTATGGGGGCGCGGGCGCGGCGCGCGGGGCGCAGGCTCGCAGTGTGCCGCCGACAACGGGGGCTGCGCCCACCTGTGCCTCGCCGCGCCCGGGGACTACCGCTGCGCCTGTCCCGCGCATTACCGGCTCAATAGTGATAACCTTACTTGTGATGGTAAGTTGTTCTGTACTGCAGTTCTTGAGTGATAAGACGGATCGAATCTATCAATTAGAATATAATTATTTTTAGACTCTTGATAGATTTATTACAGGAAAATGATCTTAGTAAAGAAAGAAAGAAAGAAAGAAAGAAGAAAGAAAACCATTTATTTTCGCGCAGAACACACATGAACTTAAAACTACAACAAAAACATTAATATAGGAAGCGAAAAGTAATCGTTACAGGAAAAAAAAAGAAAAACAAAAATTTAAAATACTCAGTGTTAGAACAAAATTAATACAAATTCTGTCTATGATCCACAGACAGAATAAACTTTCTAATTTTATAAAAATGAACGACTATTCTATAAAATGAATGACTTAGTCATCATCTCTAGTTCTGCACTTGTAAACTTATTATTTATTTATGCTTTATTGTACCCAGTGAAATGAAGTTGGTACAAAAGGAAGACTTAATGCCATTCTCTACCAGTCAACCTTTGGGTCAAGTGGAAAATATTATCTAATTGTAATTAAAATAACTAGTATTCACTAATTATAATTTACCATTTGGAGGGTTAGTGTAGGTTTTGACCTTTTTATTCTATTCAAGGAATAGCGATTGTTTACTCCCTTTTTCGAGAAACACTGCACGGTTGTGGCAGTGACTGAGCATCGGCTGCTGTGCAACAACACGGAGCATCTCTATGTGCGATCGACAAATTGTTTTTTTTCCTAATCTGGGTGTAATGTGTACTGGTAAAATGCGCCCCCCACGACACTAGAGAAAATTCTATTGTGAGACAATACTTTTTTTATTAAAAATTACTTTGCATTATCCACAGAACCCGAAGAATTCGTACTCTTTGCTTTGAAGAATGCAATAGGACGAATAGTGAATACTAACGGCGAGTGCAGCGACGCTTACATACCGCTTACTGGGTTGAAGAACGTTAAGGCAATCGAATATGATCCTGTCGACAAGTAAGTTATTTTCATGAACTTTTTCATCACTACACAAAACCAATACACGTCCTATATAGGTAGCACTTACCTTTATGTGATTGTAAGCTCCTCCCCGAATTATTGTATTTAATTATATCGAGTACATTTCAAAAAAGTTGTACTCCCGTAATAACTTGGTAAACTTTTTTATTTAGTACAGGGGTGTTAGGGAGCTCCGTAACCGTAACCGAATCCGAAATTAAAGTTTCGGATAGTATCGGATAGGGGAGGAGCCTAATTGAGACACGTTATGACAAGTTGTTTTGATCGGCCGGCCGCTGCCAGTGCCGACACACAAGCTGCGCGCATTGTTTGTTTTTTTTTTTTTTTTTGACAAATGTGTTGGTTGTATTACGGAATCGATTGAATTTGTACAAAAGACCTCCTAAGTCGAGTGCAGTTTGGTCGTTTTTTGATGAAATGACCGATTCCGCAAAATGTACCTAAACAGTGTGGTAAAAGCTTTTCAAGGAAAGGAGGTGGGCGTCGACATCGCTAAAACTTCACCTTAAATCACAACATAGTGATAAGTGCGAAGAATTTTACTTTTAAAATTCCTTAAAAATATAATATCCGTAACCGAAACTAACGGATAATCCGAAATAATTTATTATCCGTATCCGGTATAATAATCATTCCTATATCCGTATCCAATCCGTAACCGAAATTTCATATCCATAACATCCCTGATATAGTATATGGCAAATACCTATAATTAAAAATTCTTCATCGTATGTCGAACCCGCTCTTAAGGAGCGGGTTCGAAACTTCTTCGGCGATAACGAGGTCGAAAAAAAATATTAATAACTTTATTATTTTTCGCAGACACTTCTACTGGATGGACGAGGACTCGCACGCGATACGACGGGTCCCAATCTCCTACTCCTCGATCTCAGCCATTTCCAACTCCACCGTGGTAGTGTCAGGCCTCAGCCGGCCCTTCCATATGGTCCTAGACATCCTCGGCCGCGCCCTCTACTGGACATGTTCCGACACTGACTCCATCAACGCCACTTCCATCGATAACAACTCTTCATCCGGTGTCATACTACGGGGAGAGAATATGATGCCCAGGTTTCTTGCTTTCCATCAGACTAAGAGGTTAGTATGATTTTTTTATTCGTGCTTTTGTGAATCCACCGACCGATTCCTTCAGGTTAAAGTGAATCTCTCTATCGCGGCGAAACACAATGCTGTAATTGTTTCTGTGAGGTTTTAGTACCACTCCGGTTGAGTTGATCTATTAAGCCGAAGCATGGCTCTCTCATACTTATATAATCTGTATCAACTTCAATGTGGTCAATTTACTTGCTCTGGGCTGGTGATTTTAGTATACGAATAATATTCATTCAGCGTGCACGCATCTATCATACTATTGAACTTTTATCAATCAAAATTATCAATACATCCATCAGCATTTAATCAAGGTGATGCAGGAGACTGCACGATTGGCGCGGTGGCTGGGAACTGGCTGCCGCGCAATGTGTCTTGGGTTCGATTCCAGTACGGAATAACTAATGGTGTGATTTACAAATTAATGTTCCGGGTCTGGCTGTAATTAATGTGTATGTGAAATTATATGTTTTTAAACAAACCCACTAAATAGGAAACAATCCTAGTGTTGGACAATGTAACATCCCAAAACGTCAAATTTTGTTTGGGACCTTACACTTTTTTTAAGATATTTTGAAAATAATTTATAACCTGTTTTGTGAAACACCATACTACTATTATAATTATTTTTCGTAGATTCCTGATCTGGAACGACGCGGGTCTAGGCGTGATAATGCGTTCGAACGTGGACGGTCGCGGGCGCGTGGAGCTGGCGCGCGCCGCCAACGTCACGGCGCTCGCACTCGACGCCGCCGCGCACACGCTCTACTGGGCCGCCGCCAGGCAGATACTCGCTGTCGATCTAGACGGGTCCAACAAGTCAGTACAACACTTTACTTGCAACTTACTTATTTTAAGTTGATATAATCTCTAAATGAGGTTTACTAAATAACACGGAATAAATAACGGACTAAGCGCTTTGCCTCGTCATTTATACCGCTTACATCGAGGGATTGGAACAGTTTGCCGGCTGCAGTCTTTCCGTACAAATATAATTTAGGTGTCTTCAAGGCTAGAGTGAATAGGCTCTTAATAAACTAGTGCGCCTTACCATCAACGATTGCATCACTGCTTACCATCAGGTAGGATCGCAGTCAAGCTCTAGTTTATAGCAAGTAAAAAAAAATAACACCACAAAGGACCTGAAATTTTAAACTTCTTACCTACCTGCCCCAAATGATATTATAAGTAAAATTATATAGATAGGTTACATAAACAACATTCGATTTTCAAAAACGGAACACTTATGCGCAAATGAATAAACCGTATAATACACGTTAAAGTGGGATGGCATGATTCAATAATCGCGAGTGAAAAAGAGACAAGTTATGAAAAAGTGTGGCAAGTTAGCTACATTTTAATTTTACACTTGCTGAGCGCTTGTAACCTATCTACACCTTTTTAATAATATCATTGCCTACCACCACAAAAAATACTAAAACATTCATGAATTGAATCTCTTAATGTGTTTTTTAATCAGCTATATAATTGCAACATACACAAAATAAAGTCATCAAATTCCTCCACAGCTACAGCTATTCGTTTTTCAAAATTACCAATTTTAAAGAAATTCCTACAAAAAAATATATTAATACATGCATACCATACTCGCATGTCTATCTGAAAGGTTCTTAAGGTCAACTTACAAAATGAAAATAGTATTTCTACATTGCCGTGTTACCTCCACCCCCAGACGCGTAGTATGGCAGGGCGGCTGGGCGGGCGCGCTGGCGGTGTGGGGCGGCTGGGCGTACTTCTCGGGCGCGGGCGCCGCCATGCGTCTGGCGCTGGGACGACGCGAGGCGCCCGCGCAGCCCCTGCCGCATGTACCGCGCCTCGTCGCCGCCAGGGCCGTCGGGAAGGTATACCTACCTACAAATCACTTCCGAAAAACACACCACAAGCACCTTCATGACACACCTCACATGCATCGTCAATACTCTCAAAGATTTCAATAACACTCAAACACACCAGCACGTACACATTCATTCACAATTAAACACATTAATACATTTATTGTTATTTTTTTTTGTAAACAACCATGTGATCTTTTATGTTTATATCAGTCTCATAATTATGTCCCAATTCATGTCATATACAATTTTGTATTAAATAGCAGATAAGATTTGCGTATTGCGTCGCAATAAATTCCGTCTCGGAGCAGGTTTAAAAAGATGTAGATAAGGTTTCTAAAAGAAAACTTATCTACATCTTATTACTTCCATGTGTGTTCAACTTTAATTGAGCTAGAAATTCCAAAATGATTCCCATTTTAAGTGTTCACATATGTATAGTTTTTATTTATAAAATTAAGTAATACTATTGGAAATTCAATGAATGGGTCGGCTTAATCGAAATGATACCACGGCTTCACAGAAAACAGTCGTGAAACAACTAGTGTAGTATTTTGCTATGTGAGTTAGGTTACCGGAGTCCCTATGTTTTTACTCTGTGCGGGGAGCCCAATACTTCCCTTCCCAAATCTCTAAAATCTCCAAAAAGTCGGCAACGGACTTATAACCTTTCTATTGTTACGGGTGTCCATGGTTGGCGTTGATTGCTTACCATCAGGTATCTATTCGTTTGTCGTGCTATCATATAAAAATAAGAAAAGGTGCGTGATATTTGTTGAGCTCGTTTCTCTCGAAGACTAGGTGAGATTTGAGTGTGCCGTGTTCTGGATAATGATGGCGAGGTACTGCAGGTGGCGGTGTCGCACGCGTGCTGGCGCGGCGGTGCGTGCGGGGCGGCGCCGGGCGCGTGCGGCGCGGGCGGCGCGTGCGGGTGCGCGCTGCGCTGCGGGGCGCCGCGTCTCTGCCAGCCGCAGCGCTTCCTCTGCGACCCCGCCGCCGCCGACCCGCGCTGCATCCCCCACCACTGGAAGTAAGCCGATACTCTACTATACATCTACTTTTACAGAAGGGATAGCCGTCCTACGGGTCGTACAAACTGATACCGACAGCCTCACAGAAAACCGACGTAAAACAACCACAGCGTTGTCTTTTAACGTGAATGATGCTACAGGAGGCCCAATTTTTTGTCTTCTATACATTATTTAGTCTTATATTTTTAAGTATATGAGTAGATAGCTTTAGCACGAATAATTTAGGCCCGACCGAAATGATATCCCACGGCCCCATAAAAAACTTGAAAAGACCGCAGTGTTCCGTTGCGTCACATAACTAAATAACCTTAGTTTTTTTTTTAATCTTTATTTTATTAAAAGGGCTTTTTTCCATACATAACATTTCAGCCCTATTATTGTGTACAATATAACGTGACGCAACAGAACCCGGAAACATATCCCAAAATGTCCAAAATGATAATTCCCAAAAAGCTGACAACTTACTCATAATTCCCCTGATGTTACTAGTGTATATATACCTATATATACCTACAGTACCAATTGATTACCGACAAATAAAGCAGTTTGCTATTAGGATACAACCATCCTTAAATAATTGCAAACACAAAATTAAGACATCGTTACGCATACTTATTTAGTATGAAAAAATATGCGCTTACTTCGAATGTTCTCACTATGAAACGCAAACTTCTTAAGAACCTAGTAACCGAACATTGTGTTTAATAAATTTTTACTTTTCGTCATACATCCCATAAGAACACATTATTATCTTCTTGTTTGAATAAGTATTGACGTGTGTGTACCAGATGCGACGGGCAGAAGGACTGCGAGAACGGTGCGGACGAGGCGGAGTGCGGCGCGTGCGCGGGCGGCCTGCGCTGCGCTGACGGAAGCTGCGCGCCCGCGCTTGGCGCGTGTGACACCGGCGCATACTGCGCACGCGCACCGCTGCCTGACGCATTCCGGTACGTAGCAGGGAAATTAACACTTTGGCTCATACATCAAGCTACTATTACCATTTAAACTGTAACAATCTACCAACACATACAAGTGTGAGAGAGCCATGTTTTGGCCTCCCCCAATCCCCAAATCTCTAAATCTCTAATCACCAAAACAGGCAACGGATCCGTAACTCTTTTGTTGTTGTTACATCATCATGGGCGGCGCTGATTGCTTACAGTAAGATAATTCTTCTGCTCGTTTGACGACAGATCATATAAAAAAACACAATGAATTTTTTTTCCAATGATACACACAGATGTGACGAACGGCTCTGCCTCGCCCCGCGATTACTCTGCGACGGGCACCAGCACTGCGAGGACGGGACGGACGAGGCGGCCGCTACATGCGGGTTCGCGGGGGCCAAGGAGCAGACGGCGGGCGGCGCGCGCCGCTCCAGTGCCTTCGTCGTCTGCGGCGCCATCGCGGGCACCGCCGCCGGCCTCGCCGCCGCCGCCGCCGCGCTGCGCAGGGTGCGCCGCGCGGCGCGCGCCCCGCCCACTCGCGGGGGCCGCGCCCTAGGCCTGGGCCCCTCGCTCCCCCCTATAACCCCCGCCGCCCGCGCGCTTGTGCCTATCAAACGTGATATCCCCATGATACCTGCGCTCACTGCTAGTTACACCGAGTAAGTATAGTATTTTAAATCTGACACAAAATGATAATAAAATTTTTATGTGGTAATTTGTTTACACTTTATAATAACGTTTTTATTTCAATCCATACTGTTGCTCTATTGAATTATCGTGGCTTGGCAATTTGCAGCCGTCAACGTATTGCGGGTTCAATTTCCGCAGACACTTTTTGTTATCCACACGTTGTTATTCCGGATCTATTCAACAATTTTTTGCGTGATGTCTATGTACGGTTTTATGTTCATACACGCACACACGACAAAGGAAACAGACTGAGTGTAGAACAAGTTTACTACATAACTTTGTGTATCTTTCCCCTGCAGTAGCGTGGAAAGCGGTTGCGCGCGGTACCCGCGTCCAACAGCGAACCCGCCGCCGAGCCCGGCGACAGGCAGCGACGGCGGGTCGGCGGCGCCGCGTCGTCGTCCGTACCGTCACTACCGCGCCAGCAACCGTCCGCCGCCGCCGACGCCGGCGTCGACGGACGCGTGCGAGTCCGAGCCCGAGCCCGCCGCGCGCGCCCCGCCGCCCTCCCCCGCGCCCCGCGCCCACTGACCGGTACACTCTACGTACCCTCCCTCATACCACACATTACTTTACTATTCGACCGAAACTCGACTTTCATACGAAACCGAAACTACAAAAATATCATCACTTTTCACAAGCAACAAATAATAAAAGTTTGTCGTTTATACATTCACATTGTTGTCCATGCTTATACTATAAAATACTAAAAGTACAGTAAATGTAGATGTTATTATTTTGACTAAAACTGAAACCAGTGGTGAAAATTCAGTTTCTGTAAAGTCCAGTTTCGCCAGATCATTACAAACATAACATAGTGCACAAATCAATGCACTGACTCAGTCATCTAGTCTCAATAACCTAAATGAAATTATTTAGTAATAATACAGTTTAAAATAAACCCTAAAAGAAAATGCATAAAGCACATAATTATTTGACGTTATTCGGATTTTGACATCACACATATTATTATGTCACATCACACCACAGATGTTATGTTCTAAGTGTGAAATAACTAATTGGTGCTATTTCACTGTTCGTGCCTCAATAATTGTTATAAGTATAAAATCTCTATTATTTGTATTATATAGTATATGATAGTGTTAAATGTAAAGTTAAGGGGAAACACATACATAACCAATATTATCGAGGCAGCTCTTCGAGGCAGTATTAGACTATAAGCTGATTGAGTCTTTATAAAAAGTTCACATTTTATTGTTTAATATGAAAACAAAGCATACAGCAAGGTAAGGTCTAAGCCTTCACCTCCCCCATTCCGCCCGTCTCGAAAACCCTAAGCCCAAAATGTCGGCGACGCGCTCGTAACTCCTTTGATGATCCATCGGCGGCGAAGATTGCTTACCGTCAGGTAATCCGTCTGCTCGTTTGCCATCATATCACATATTTTTTTTAGATTCAGATTTCCCTCAATTAGGTCCCAATCTCGTAATAATATTGGGAGTCATAATAACCTATGCTACTTCTGAGACAATATCAAAATAAATGTTTAATTCGTCGTTCAAGTTTTAATGCAAAGATAATTTCTTTCGTCTTTGTAATACTATTAGCCCATTCATTCGATCGATTCGATCGTGATAAAATTAATGTTCTAAACAAGTTCATACATTTTGATTTAATCTATAAGCATGGGTATTATGGTCTATAATTGAGTGGGTGGCAGGATACTAGTGTCTGCTCATGGTATGATAGTTGGAAAGGCGAAAAGGCGATAACGTCACATAGAACAGCGGCACCCGCTTGGTGATTAGTTGTACGATTTTAATAAATCCCTCCATACTATTGATTCACTGGTTTACATCTCGGGTTAAGAAAAACTTTAACATTTTAACTATTAATAAATTAGAGGTCGGAGTAAATTGATTACTTTTATGTTTTGATACCGCATCCTCACAGAAAACTGACGTGGACCAACCGCAGCGTTGTGTTTCCCCGTATTAGCTAATACTGGCAGCTTAGATTTATATTATTAATAAGTGTTCGATTCCCACACGGAACAACTATTTGTGCACTTACGACACGTGAGAAAATTTTAGTGCGTGGCAACATTTAAAAAAAAAATTTCAACTTAAAACACAAATTCTGGCTTATTTCTAAATTCCGGAACAAATATCACAATAAATATATTTTTTTGGTATTTTTAAGGCAAATCAATATTATCATCTACGTTTGACGTTAACGACTTTAATTCAATCTACCTAATTCCGCCCTGTGTTAATAATAGTAACCTAAGATTAAACCAGTAAATGAACAAGGCCTTTATGTAATACTAACTAATCCAGAATTTCACCCGAGACGGGACCGGGATGCGTAGCGTGATGTTTTATAGCCGTCCTCAATAAATCGACTATCCAACACATAAATATTATTTTAATTTGTACTAGTAGTTCTTGTGATTAGCGCGTTGAAACAAACAAAGTCTTGAGACTTATATTGATAAATATATAAATATATTTCTATATAGATTTTACTTGTTTTATATAAAACAAAATTGCCTCTGTTTTAACTGAACTATTCAATACTTTTTTTTACTATCAAGTTTCTGTTTTCTTATCAATTTCAAGAAGAAACTATGAGGTATCTCCCATACAGACAATAAATAAAATAAATTGGCATAAATGTTTACAGTAGAGCTATCAAAAAAGTTACATACTTACTAGCGACTTCACTCGCATTAACAGAAAAGCAGACCATGTATTATTACAGACTTATATCTGTGCCAACTTTTATCAAACTGAATTCAGTAGTTTTTGAGAGAGTTACAGATGTCCATTCATATTAACAAACTCTCACGTTTATAATATTAGTAAGAATTTAATGTCATGCTTATTTGCTTTTTTACCACAGATTATAATAAAAAATCTAAAACTATGTGTTTCCCCTTTATTGTAAATAAAATATTGTAAACAAGTTTTATTAATTATATAAATAATAGATAAATAAATAACTATATGTTACAATTAGTGGGTTGCATACCTACGTATGTTCTTTGTTAACGTACTTAGCAAATTAATGTTGTCGTTATCAAATAATTCGCTTGAATTTCTATCGAACAAAATATGTAATTCATTTTAATCGATATCGACTTCTAAATGTTTATTTATTACAACTCTATGATACGATTTATAATTTTTAACATTCTGCATTTAAAATTACGACAGATGTTACCTAAATCTCTTCTTACAGACTACAGTTGAGTCAACCAACTTTGAGTTCTATTGCGAGGCAATAAAACACTTGTCAGCTGCAGGAGATAACTTTGACCTGAGACAAAATAAAGGCATATTTGTGCGATCGGCGCACCATTGAGATTCGGAACAAAGATAAACTAGCTTTCTTATAGTGATAACTAGCTACACTCGCACGGTTTCACCCGCTGCTGGGCTCCTTTAGATCAAAGCGTGATGTTTTATAACCTCCTTCCTCGATAAATGGACTAACGAACAAAAAAAGAATAGTTCAATTCGAACCAGTACTTCCTGAGATTAGCGCGTTCAAACGAACTAACACTGAAGCATTTTAATATTCTATAGTATAGATAAGGATTATATAGTGAACACTCCAGAATGATACCTTAGGCAAGCCCAATAAGGAAAGGAATGTTATGAGTCCAGAAGAAATGATTTGGTTCGATCCCTGAATTTGAACAGAAGGCCTTTCATCGGGCGTGAAAGAGGGATGGAGCTATACACCTTTTATATCTCCATCTCTCTTTCACGCCCGGAATATTCACGCTTTAACACTTCATGGTAGGCCTACAGAACTGATGTAGGTATGTCCCACTCAATCCTTGCCCAACCCAAAACCTGGCGACAATGCGCAGGTTTTGTTCAAATTCAGGGCTCATGTTGTTTGACAGTATTATTGTTTAGGGTATGATGGCACTGACTTACGCTATGCGTAAAAGAATATAAAGTTATATGGAAAAAAACAAATAAGAAACTTCCACTAAAAGGAGGAGATTCTCTTATATTATGAAGGAAGATAAAAATTAAAAGAACCTCAACTCCGTATGATCAACAAAATGTTACACGGTACAAGTTAAGGGAGTGCAAGACTCGCAAAAAAAAACTCGTTAAAAATCAATAAACATCAAAATAGTACTTAAAGTTGGTTGAACAATGTATTCGCGTAAATATCTGAACTTATTATTTCTACTTATATCATTATGACGTTTTTTATAAAAAAAAAAGTATATAGTTTTTTTGCAGCATTGTAATTGTTAACATTGTGTGCGCAAATGTACAAATATGAGTGTCGCGAGCGTTTACAATATTTTAAGATAAACTTCAATTATTGTAAAATTATCTGCATGACTCAATACATTTCTATGTGATTCACAGCTATTTTGGTGGTCAGGTGTTTTTATATTGTTGTATTCATGAAGATTATAAGACTCGAGTCCAAGTATGCGACTGCCGAGGAAAGGTTCAGACACAATGCTAAAAAATATTTGTTCAGTCTCAATCGACGGAGACAGTCCTTTATAATACCTAATATTTACAATGTTACGTCATAAACAATCTGTATCAATACATATCTTCAAGTTTTTGGCTTATGCTCAGTATACATTTCAAATGACTACACCAAATTCAAAACCTCTTTTGTTGTTTTAAATAAAATTAAAATCCGCGGGAAAATAAATAATTTCTGATCTAGTAATAAAATAAAATATGTTTATGTATGAACTCCGAATGCTCGCGACATATAACAATATGTAAAATAATTTATACAAATAATATTGTGATTATTTGCAGTTGCCATTTATATTTGCATTTATATTATTTTATGTGAAAAGCTTGATTAGTTAATTATTTCGATTCTTATTAAATCTAAAACCGACTGATTGTGAGATTTTTGTAATAAACTTTTGTACCTGTTACTGCTTTTTTTTTAAATTAATGTTATGGTTAAACATACCTTTATTGCTGATGAAATACAAATCTGGTAATTTACTCAAGTACAAAATATAATATTGAAAGTTTTGTTTCGTGATACTTACAACAATTTTGTGTACATACCGGAAATACGATCAATTATAGGGCATATGATTAACTCTTCATTTTAAATGTCAATATCTTGCATTACCAAGCTAATTACAAAAACAAAATTGAGGGAATCAGAAGTAACCCACTTCACGTATAAATATTTAGAAGAACGCGGATACAGTTACATTATCGTGAAATTAACGATATCTGGAAAATACATCATATGCTCTATCATGGATTTGACCAGATGGCCCGCGCACGTTACTCATCATAATTCAACATCGCTAGGGGCGTACCCAATACGCCCCCAGTGTTGATAAACATTGTAGTGGCTGCCGAAGCTCAGAGCCTAGCGCACTCTGCAAGCAGTCGTCCACTCGATCACATGGATCATGACGAGCACACTGGGCAAGTGGCTCTTGTTAGCTGTGCTCTGTTTTGTTCCTCTTGATGGTGAAATATATCAAGACAGGCCAAAGATCAAAACTTCGGGAGGAGACCTCATTTTGGAACCAGCCTTAGACAAAAATATATATCTACGCCCAAATGGACCGAAATCAAACATCTTTATCGGCGACGTAAATATTCTGAAAACCAAATTATCAGATGATGGGACTCAATACCAACCAGCCAACAACGACATCCCCGTCGATAGTCTAAATGGTATCCTGCAACGACTGGACAAGTTGGAGAACAAGAACACTGCGCTGCCAAGTGACCTGCTTTTCAACATAACCTTAATCTGGAGAAGAGTTAACAATATACACAGGAAAGTGCTCAGTCTACAATCACAATTAGAAAGTCGGAACAGAGACCAATGTGAATCTAATCCGTGCGAGCATGGCGGAACTTGCCTTAACCTAGCGAATGGCTACCATTGCCTGTGCCCACCGAACTGGGAAGGCAGGGACTGCGATGTCGATGTAAACGAATGCAGGAATTTCGCAGGAACGGATCTGGGATGCCAAAATGGGGCTACGTGCTACAACACGCCTGGGTCTTATCAGTGTTTCTGCAAATCCGGCTGGTTTGGTATGCATTGTACTAGGAAGGCGAAAGATTGTTCTGGTGGTGATTTTGAAATGTGTGGCCACGGGACTTGTATTCCAGTAAC